CTAAATTTCATGTTTAAGTGATGACAATCACCATTGCTAAGATGGATGGGACTTCATTGTGCTGGAATCATACTATTATGACGTGGCAACAGAAGAATCTATTAATTAGTCAATAACTATGGCAAAACATCCTTCAGGAATATGTGGCAACTTCTTCTTGTCCAGGTTAGGTTATTCGAATATGGCAAAGTACACAAGGATGTTCTGCCTGAAGGGAGGGATGCCTTTGTGAAGGATGTTCTAAGGGAAATTAGTTCATATTCACATTACACATGGGAAAACCACAGAAAGTAACCATGCAGCCAGCCCATTTTCCATTTTAACTACCAGTACTCAGTGGTTTTAATCATTTTGTTAGTGATGGAGCCCTTTTGTCCAGATGAAGAAGCATGAAATATGGACCACTTAATTGGTCCTTGACAATCTGGACAAAACATTAACAGTAAAGAACTAATGTGCTGTACATATTACTATCCAAGTTTTTTTTTTTTTTCCAACTTTGTATTGTTACACAATTCTGATTTGTCTTTGTGTAATTTATCTCTTCCAAAAGATTGTGCACACTCTATGTATTCATTCTGTATATAAATATCTTAATGATCAAATAGTTAAAGATTGGTCAGTTGATCCAAACTTCTCATCAAAGATTTTTCATTTTTGAAGGGGGATGGGGAACATTTTTTATAAATTTTTGTATGTATATTTTTTAACTGAACTAGAAAACTTCATGCTAGTATATAGTCTTGATTCAGAAAATTACACTTCTTAAATGAGAACTTCACATCTAGGAAAAATATAAAAACCTTTTCAGTTTTATTTCCAAACATTAAAAATTCGATTTCCTATTTGAAATCTCCTGCAATGTTTGCTTTATAATTATTGAAAGTTTTAAAATTAAAATAGCTCTTCAATAACATCTTTCAATTAACAGTGCTTGGTTGCTAAACAGATATAAAATTTTTCAGAAATGGAGCAGTTCTTTTAGTTTTAAGCATTAAGGTTATTTTTTATGCCTCTGAAGAATCAAAAATGGTTCCCCAAGATTTTATTAAAATTTTAAATACTAATAGATAGATAAGTTTGTAAAATTACATTTTGCATGTCAGTAGTATCTTCTTAACAGTTTTATGTGGTAATGTATAAAACTACATTGAATAACACCATGCTATATAATTCTTATTTTTTAAAGCAATTGCTAACCATGTTTGAAGATACTTCAGCCATTGAATTTTGTCAAAATTCATCATTTAAAAAGCAGTGAGTTTAAATATTGTGAACTGGAATTTCAGTTCCTTATTCAGTACTGTTTTGATACTTTATTTTAAATGATCAAATTACCCCAAGTCACTGTATTTCCCTTGCTGAATTGGATTGGAAAAACAAATTTCAAATTTCAATTTTGAAAAATCATAAATTGTCAGAAGAGAAGAAAACTTTTTTTTTTTAATTGCAAGGTTTTTTAAAAATTTCCCTTATGAATCAGAATTTGAATTTTTCAAAATTTAAAGAGCAAAAATTCAGTTATTGTGATTTGAGATCTTTTTGCTAAATCGTGAGTGTTCTTGCGTATTAGGATTCTTAAGCTTAATTGCAAATTTTTGTGCAGTTCTGAGAGCTTAGAATAATAATTCACAAAAAGGTGATTCCCCCCCCCACAGAAAGGTAAACTTTCCATACCTGAAAGAAAGGAATTTGTATATTTTAAATATACTTAAAATATTAGTCATGCTTACTGAAGAATGATGATTTCTTTAATATATATATATATATATTTTTTTAAGGTAAAATCCTTGAAGTGTAAGTACATAGCCAGATAGGAATAAACACTGAATGGCAGCCATGAGTTAAAAGAAGAGCATAGAAATCATATTTATTTATATATTTCTTTCCTGTTTTTATTAATTTAACCTCTTGAATATTGGAATGGAAAAACTGTACAGCATATGATTTCTAAAGAGTTGGTTGAACCCACTGAGTGGCATGGGTTTTTTGGTTCGGTCATGAAGACCTAAACAGAATTTATTACCTAAATTTGTACTTATTTTAGTCTGTATTTTCATAAACTTACATTCATTAAGATGACATTTACATTATCAAAAAAAGTAAGAAACCAAAATACTTTAAATTATAAGCTAACATATCAAGTAACAAAAAAATCTCATTAGCTGACAGAACCAGTCATGTCACTCAGAGGGTTACATTAAAAACATATATACAGGGTTGCCACGCTACCTGGAAAACCGGGAGAACCGGGAAAAGTCAGGGAATTCGAAAATTGACCAAAAAATTCAGGGAAAAGTCAGGGAATTTAAGTATTTTTGTCAAAATCTGGAAAAGTCAGGGAAGTTCATACAATGATCCCACCAAAAAAAGCGATTTTTGCGCCGACGTCGGAAGAGATAACTTTTTTTGGCGAATTGCCTATCACGTGAGTGTCTGCTGGCACAGAGCCAATTTTCGCAGCTCCAATTTGATTGCCTTTTAGAAAGGCAAAGCAAGTTTCCCGCAACTTTTGGTTTCCAGTATTCTCGAGAATCGCATGTGCAGTGCATGAACTAAAGAAAGTACCTGTTCTCGTATAAAACAAAATGGGTTTCATCTTAGTATACGGTACGATGGAGGTTAGTATCAAAGAATATATATTGTAAAGAAGGAAAACCTCTCTGCAACAGACGTGGCTCCGTTCCATCATAGAGGGAACAGCTGTGCATGCGTGATATATCTGCTGCCGCCAAAGCTGGAAACCGGTGTCGAAGTTCGAAGGTCACGTTATCAAGAGTTCATTAAATGAATATCCTTTAAAATTTCTTTAACCACTTGCGCTAAAAAGACGTGCCACGCACGTCGAGATGTTTTTTGTCTCAAACTGCGAGCGACGTGAACACCACGTGGATAAGCATTTATCGCAAAAATGAAAATAACATGGTGCACACGTCGCTTAACAACGAGATTGTTTATTTCTCGAGTTACAGCTCTGGATTGCACTCGCAGATGCGGAGCGGCGTAAATGAGACACTTACCACTTGCTATATTGTAGCGCACGGCACCGCAACCGTGAAGTTTAGTCTTAGCGCAAGTAGTTAAACTCTAAATTAAAAGAAAATATTTTTTGGCGCAAGTAAAATTAATTCATAGGTTAGTAATTTTCAGGGGGGGGGGGAAATACGAAAATCCGTTTTTAAAATTATTGTGAAAATCCAAGAAGAAACGTCCTTTGATAAAACGTTTCTCTTTGGATTTTTCGCAATGATTTAAAAACGGATTTTCGTAGCTTTGTTTTGTTAAAGAACGTTTTCTTCTTAACCACGTTTCTCAATTTCCGGTACACATCGCGGAGAGGGAAATTCTGGCCGCCAGGTTCCGTTGCCAAATCCCTTGGCAAATTTTTCCCTCCGCATTTCTAGCGGCCGTAATAGCATTTTACTTGTATGGAAAAGTTTCTTCTTTACATAGACCAAAGAATTAGAGATTCTTTGCATAGACCGTTTTTTTGGTTAAAATAATCTCCATGTATGGATTTGGCGACATGATGATGCGCAGTAAACGGGTCATTTTGGTCTTGGCGACAATTTTTCAAAATCGTGCCAAAGCCTTACCGTATATACTAGAATTTTACCGCAAAATCTTCTTAAACTTTCTTTTTAATAAATACCTTGCCATTTTGCAGTAAAATAAAAAATAGTAATCTGTCATCTAGGCTAACCATGTCATTCGCTAAAATATCGTTGATTATTCTAATTCATTTTTAAGTAATTATCTTATTTTTATGTTTATTCGTATAATTTAATGATGCTTTTCCCTCTAAATTTATTAATTATTAGTAAATATATTTCTAAATTTCAGGAAATTTTCTCTGGCATAATCTTGAAATTAATTCTAGCAGTATGATGACATACCATCACGAAATTTATACACATATTTTTTTTCTTAGGTATGCTGCGACTAAATATAAAATACCTCAATTTATTAAAATAGATTTCTTTGTTTCGTTTAGCTGCAGAATTGTCTGCAAAAAAAGCCTTATTTTATTCCAGATTGGTGAAGATTCTAATCTCAATCTTCAATGGAGAAAACACAACTATTATAATTATATTTGTGTTTTCAAGTGTTAAGGTGCTTTTTTAAGAACATACCTCACACAAATTAAATTTACCTAAAATCTAACCTAACTATTTAGCATTGGTTGTGATTATAAGGACGGATTAGCCTTGGTGTTGAACTGGTGATGATCATGAGTAATAATTAAATAAACATACATTTATTATCCAATGTAATCTTAAATTTTATTAAGTTTCTTAAGTGGAAAAGTAAACAAAATTATCAAACAAAGTATACCAAGAATAATTAAGAATAAATGTCCTCTGGGATTTATTGAATAATTAAGTGAATTTGCTACACAATACAAGTAATACCATAATTTACCTCTTAGTGTAGCCAACGTACATTACGCGGATAGACAGGAATTTTCTTGAAACGCACCTGGAAAACCTGGAAAAGTCAGGGAATTTCATTCTCCTGTTTGAGTGGCAACCCTGTATATACTTGTATAGATTTACTAGCAATTAATGTTTCTCCTTTTAAAGAAGCCTTTTAAATAATTTAATTTCAATATTTATTTTACTTACACAATGTACATACATTTTTATTACCTTAAATCAGAAGTTTTGAAATCATGCAAAAAGGATAGGAGGGAAAAATATGCAAATAAATACAATGTGTTCATTTGCATATATTCATAGCTGATCAATTTATTGTCAAATTTTGTTTTATACTGAAACAAGAATGCCCATTCATATGTGGAAATGTCATTAAAGTGTTGTTACTAGTTGTGTTACAAATTAGACTTGTTAAAAGATGAAGCGTCAAGATTGCATATGATGTGCAATTTCAACCGGCCTAATATAAATTTTGGAGGGGGGCAGTCAAATGATGCATTTGTATATGTATGTGGTTTTGTTTTATCTGAATATTTATAATGTATTTTTTTCCTTTTATTTCAGATGGTCACTATTCCATGTCCTACTTTACAAGACCCGATTTTGCTTTGTTCAAGTTTACTTAGTTCATTTTTGATACCCAAACAAAATTTAGTCCAATAAATGCAAGAAAAAATTCAAGCGTCTGTTTGTATCTATAATTTAAAAATTTCCTATAATAGCAGACATTTTTAATAATTAACACTAGAATTACCAGTCTGTCAAAATGATAGAATTTTCTTCATAGAAAATTACATTAAGTTGTTTGAACATAACAAGCAAACATCAACTACCTGCTTCAGAGGAGGAATGTCTTCTTAAACAATTTTCTAACAGAAACTGGCTCATATTTAATGTTACACAGATACATTACTCATACTATGAAAACACCCATGCAACGAGCCCTTTCTCCTAGATTCAAACCAGGTCAAGCTGCCAGCATTCAGCAATCGTCCATTGATTGGGCTCCTATTTGTAAAAACAGGTGTATATTAATAGTTGGCGGTTTTAGTTTGACTTTTTTTCCCTACACTCTGACAAATTTATGAAAAAGTATTAAATCTTGCTTCTTGTTGAAATTTTATAAATGTTGGGTAGGACTCTGTTCCAAAATTTTAAAATAAATTTTGAACACGTCAGTAAAGGAATTTCTTCTAAGCTTCTCATTATAGGAATAAAACCATAAATTTCAATTTTCAGAGGCCAAAATTCCTCTTTGTACTAATTTGTACCTTAATTTGGATATCTTAGAACAGAGGCGACCAAACGTTTTAGGAAGAGTGTCATTATCTCGTGGAGGTAGGAAGTAAGATGGAGTCGCCCTAAACAAGTTTCTCCCGTACCCTGCTCTGAAGCACCGGCGATCCCTACGTGGTGACCAAAACATTGGGTCATTTACCATTGAGTTCTATGGGATTTGACGGGTTTGGATGTAAATATTTTGTAATTACGTCGTAAATATACATATAAATGTATATATTTTCTTTTTCTACAACACTTCAGAGTCCTAAGTATGTGAAAACAACATATTTTTAAACAACATTTCATTCTGAACGGAATTAAATGCTATACTTTTCACAGGACAGTTTTCTCAGAATGGTTTAATTTGAATGAAATATTTCACAAGTTTTTCGTTAATTACATTAGAAAAAAAATTAAGGTAATTTTCGATTTTATTCGGTTAAGGTACAAAAATTAAGATCAAAGTTTATTGTATTATTAATATTAAAATTATGCATTATTTCTTTTCTATTTATAGAGCTTCTTCCTAAAATACTTTCTTAAATATGACATGATTTTTTGGCTTCTGAGGCATCTTTTAAATCGAAAAATGTAAGTCAATTTATAATTAATGCTCTATTCGCTAATTCCTAATAATTAAATAGGTATTAAATAGTACTTGACTTTCTCTGAACATTTCTGAAAGAGAATAAAATAAGTTTTTTTTTTTTTTTTTTTTTTTTTTAAAGTATTATTTAAAACTTGTAACTGAGTTATTATAAAATGTAAAGGGAATAATTCTTTTAATTATACTTATCAGATTTTTTTTTTTTTACCCTTCATTTCAACAATACATATTCCAAAACTCTTTATTACGTTCTTAAGTGCGCATCTCATAGCATTTGCTTTACAATACCTTTTAACAGATTGCTTTCCAATACGAACATTTCTTGCTTAAATAGTTTTATAACGTATTTGTCAACAGGATTTCAATTTATGTTTACAATTCAATATTAAGGTTATTATATATTTAGGATAACATTTATAATCATTATAAATTAGATACATTTAATCATTAGATTTCTTCACAGTACTTTCACAGTTGTTTATAAGTGAATAAATTCTTCATTTCAAAACATTTATAAATAATTTAATGAATATTTAAGTATTTTGTCAAACGCAGATGCATGCTTTTTTCAAGCACATGCATAAATACCCATACATATTTCCGGCATGTGCAAATCTTTAATTTCTGTGCATTCACTATATTTTTCGTGTAAAGTAATTTACACTAATTTAGCATACACCTGAAAGTTTTACATAAAAAATATATATGAATATAATTTGAATGAAAATTATAAGTATTATTTTCAATACCCACTCAAAGGTCAGTTTTTCTTCAAAATTCCTCCACGATGGCATCTCTCTCTTTAGGCAGATAGCCCTTGCAATGCGTTACTCTCTTTAATAAAAATTTAATCTGACCTATGTGCTTAATTACAAATATTTTAAACATACATAATTTATATTTATAAAACGTGTAAGCCCAAAGTAATTATTTTTTTCAGATATAATAAATTAAAACGATGGGTTTAAAATGAGCAGCAGTAAAGCCTCTCCTCTCAAAAATTTTAAAAGGTACATGTTACAATAATATATGGATGTGAAAAAAATGTGTTTTATTTAAAACATTTTGACGTTTGGAAAATAAAATAAAAGTAGCAAATACTCTATCAAGGGTATCGAAAGACGTATACAATTTTAAATGTACCATAAGGTATTTTTCATTCTTTAAGCATAGCATTTTTCTTAAAATCTATATTTTTCTAGTGCAACAGCTTAGAATTTTATAAAACAAATTTATAATCAAAATCGCTGTTGTTAGTTATCGAAAAATAACCAAGATGCGATTTTTGCGTAAATGTCACTAAACTATACAAATTGCTATCGTCCATCACACTATGAATGTTTCTTTCATGTGAAAGTGTCCCTTTTTCGATTTCTATGGAACTGTCGTGTGTCGAAATACTATCAATCTTGTCAAGCGAGCTTCTGAATGTAAACAAAGAACACCCCATCTGGTGACCCAAGCTTCAAAGCAGTGCTTCACTTTTAGCGCGGGTTGGCCCCTCCTCCCTTTCCTACCTCCATGCATTATCTGGGGGGGGGGATTCTGTGTGCTATTTCCAACTTCTCCAACATATTAAAAAATATAAAAAGGTGAAAAAATTTTATTTATAGGTTAATTATGGGCTTTTTATGCAAATAGCACATTTTTTCCCATGTAATTCCAGTAAATAATTATTAAACAGTCAGTACTTAATTATTGTGGCTTTTGAATTTTTAATTCTTTTTTTTTTTACCAAGTCAAGGTATATTAGGATTAATTCTTGAAGGTTATTATAAAATTGTGTATTAGTTAATCTTGAATGATATTTTGATTTTATTATGTTCATAATAGAAAATATTTGTCCACAAGCATATGTTGATCCAAACATACAACATATCTGACAGCCATATTGTGTAAATTTGGAAAATTGCTTGATGGATAAAATTTCATATAATTTCAAACACTATCAGTTGAAATAAGTTCCTTATATGTGCTTTTCAGAGTAGTGTGGTGCTGTAGGTCCATAACTTCAGTTTGGATTTCAGCTGGATAGCAGTTAACATCTTGCAGAGAAATTGAAATAGGATTTGTTAAGATCACCCTTTTTTTTATGATCTTTAAAATCATCAAACCTAGCACTGAAAGAATCCTGAAAAATAAATATTAAATTTTTAAATCCATCATAGTTTGAAGCATTATTGATTTTGGTAGCTATTTTCTGCATTAATGTGATTTCCCCCCCCTTCAAAATTGAGACAAAAAAAGCAAAAGTTTGTTCGCAAAAGAAGGTATATGATAAACTAGAGTATGAAAAATATAATATTTTCTTTGTATTCTTAGCAAGCACTCACTGGGCAGTTCATTGTTTTCTTCCGGATATTTTAAAACACACTCTCTCAAATTCCAAAATCTTGTGAGTGTACTTCCTTTGGAAAGCCAGTGTATGCTACACTGAAGGAGTAACTCTCCATCCTTTTCCGTATCCTCCAAGAAAAGCTCATGATATCCTTGTCGACTCATAGCTCCAGCTCATACTTGACCAACTGAGTCAATACAGAGTCAACAGCAGAAGACAGGTTTAAGTCCTTAACAAAAAGAGCTTCTGGATAGATAATATAATGATATTTATAATTCAAGCAATATTACAAAATCTTTTATCTTGCCAAACCATGCAAGGCACACCATCTGTGTAAACACTATCTAATTTTATCCACTCTACTTTGTTCACTTCATTTACATTTTAAATTCTTTCAAAATGAAATACCTCACTTAAATCTAGCTGGCAAAAATCAAGTTCTTCCACAATATCAAAATTATCGTTCATGTAATGCACAAATATGGTTAACTGCATATTTATTGTCTGTGATGTTACAGCTTTCATCCATTCATCATTTTAACTTTTCAAGCTAATGAATAGTATTTCAAATTTCATCCATCATTTTAACTTTTCAAGTTAATGAATAGTATTTGAAATATTGTAATCCAGAGCAGAGGCGAAGCTACGGTTATCAGCGCCCGGGGACAACTGAAGAATTTGCGGCCCCCTGGATGCTGCGTCCGGGGACAGATTTCCCTCCTTGCCATACCCTAGCTACGCCACTGATCCAGAGACAATTTGCGTGCCAACATCCTGGCCCATGTCATCTATGTGATGCATGGTGGTATTTTTAGACAAAGATATTTTATCAACCATATTTTTTACATCAACATTTTGGGCAAATATTAAAAGGCTATTTTTTATTATCTCCTCTCTGTCAGAATAGGTTTTTTTCTTGGGGGCTAAAAAACAGAGAAAGTTCATAAGAAGCCTTCACCATAGTTTCCATTTCATCATCTCTCTTCTGTAACAAGGATTGTTGGCCTGCTAAATATTTCTTTCTTTTTTTAACCCAACAACCATCCATCAAGTTTTGAATAACATAGTCCTACACCCAAATATCAGCACCTGAAATTTCGAATTTGTTTTATTAGCTCTTTCATATTTTGTAAAACTTTAACGAATTTTTTATTAAAAACATGTTTTCAAAGCAGGCAGTAGCAATGCTGTACAGAATAAAACACTTTTATCTCCACATGAAACTGTCTATCAGAAATTTAAATATTTTGTGATATTGCTGATGAATTTTATGTGGCGTAAGTGTGAAGATCATCTTTAATAAATAAAGGTAAAACACAAATATTTAAAAAATTCTTTGGGTGTAATATAAAATGTGAAAGTTTATTATTATTATTGATAAATGCTTTTCACAAGTGTCATCCAGCAGGATATTTGCTGTTGAGATCACGATGCAGCTGTTTGAAATGTCAGTCT